ACACACACACACACACACACACACACACACACACACACACACACACACACTCACTCACTCACAATCAATCAATCAATCAATCAAACCCCTTTTTTGAAGTTTTTTATTTATTTATTTTATAATTTTGCATCTGCATTTTTTTTAAACACCTCATACCCATACAAAAATAGAAATTCGTTTCTAAAAAAATACAGGTGAACTAAGGGACCATATATCTCATGATAAAAATGACATTAAAAAAAATCTTATTTAGTTTTTTATTTTTAAAAAATCCTAAACAAAGTTGGATTCCAAAAATAAAATTATGGGGTTGTAGGGCTTAAAATTCCCTAAAACATCATTTTTGTTTTTGTTTTTTTAATATATTATTTAATTCACGAAACATCTGGCAAAATCGGGTCCGCGGCGTGGATCAGGTCGGCCGCGGACGCGACCCCATGTTCGTCCGCCATCCGAGATCAGACCCGCGGACGCGTCTACGGATGTTTCATAGAAGGGATCGGATCAGTCAGGAGGACCTCATCTCCAGCCCTATTTCAAATCATCGAAGCAGACGTCGTGGATTCCATTTCAAGCAAAACGAAAATAAACAAGCAGAGTAGATTTTATTTGATTCAGTTGAATTCCTGAATTAAAATCAAGGAAATATACAAAAGTCAAAACTCAGTCAAACTGAATGAAGGGTGATATAAATATGGGTATACGGGATGCTAAAGGAGATTGTGTCGGCCTACCTCAAAGTTCCCTGCCTCCAGGGTCCCGCCTGAACCCCGGCAGAGCTCATGCAATCGGTGGAGCGAACCTCCCATAGAGGCCTTGGCACGAATTACGAGTTTCAATCCCGCCTACCGCCTTCCTCTTTGAACCAAAAGACTAGACTAAGAGTGAGAACGGCAGAACCACAGAGATTGAGTCGCTCAGATACAAGAGAGGTGCGCTGAGACTCGTGTGAGAGGGCCTTGATTCCTTGACACCCCTTAGGGCCCCGCAAAGGTGGCCAAGAAATACGCAAGTAATATGGTCAGACCGAAGTCAAAACGCAAAGTTTCGGTCTTCAGAAGATCCTCAAAATCGCAATGGTAACCCTTATTGTAGAGTCTGACCACTTCCCCAAGTTGCAACGTGGTTCCTCCTTGCCAAACTTGCTGCTACGTAGCTTGGAAAGACCGCGTTCAAATAGAACACATCCCTGTGCTCTATTCAAGTTGTAGGGAAAAGGCAGCAAACCCCGACAAGTACGCAGTGTGCTCAGTAGTTGTGTGCAGCAGTGGGCATAACAACAATGCCTAGCAGCAGCTCATGAAAGGACAAGGTGCAGTGCCAAATAGTAGTACCCAGCGTCACACAGCAAGACTATTCGTATGCAAAAAAAACACAGTGGGATCACAGCGTCTGCGCAAAAATGCACAGCACATGCACAGTAGCTCTTGGCTTGGAAGGGGCCTGTGTCTTCCTCAGCACAACAACAAAAATCGCCCAGCTCAACAATGATGCAGTGACCACACAACAGTGGGGAATGGCAGGTCGAGGCAAGACTCAATCAGCAACAACTTCAAATAGGAAGAAGGCAACCGCCTTCGTTTTGTCCAACAGTACTTAGAGAAGAACCAATTGCCCCGTTGAAACAAACAGCAAAAGTCTTAGGCTTCGATAGCAGAACCCAACAGTCGGGGACCTGCCCTCGCTGCAGCCTATATAAAGTCAAACACATGTCTCCAAAGAAAAACTACAGCAGCAGTCTTGAGCTTAAACACAGTCACACCCTGTCCCGACAGCAACACTATAGCAACACCAGTATTATATAATCGCAGGCAAAACCAGATTGCCGACTGCAGCGGCAAACAACTTCCCAACTCTAGTGACCACGAGTATGACCTAGTGCAGAATGATCACGTATCTCCTGTTGAAGTATGGAAGGATACACCGTTGAACTTTACGTTGCTATCCCCCAACCCATCGCGACTTCCTGGTGTGTACTCTCGATCCTTTCTCCTCCTGTCTCTTTTCTCCTCAAGGAGAACGAGCGATAGCGGAATGACAAAACTATTGAAGGCAAATTCACATTGAAAACCAGCAAAAGTGTCGCCTCAGCTAAGTCCCCACGTGATAATCATGTAGGTCCCTGCAGTTGGTTGCTGACTTCCGGCCACCTCCTAGTCCAAGTTCGGACAAAGGTGAGTTGTCCTCTCTCACTCTCTTTCACCTTTACTCAGTCCTCTCCCTCTCTGAATGCCCTAGCCCGGAGATCAGACCAGGCTCACTCCGCTTGGGCTTCCTGCAGCGTAAGCAGGCAGGTACAAATGCGGTTGACTGGAGGTGATTGAGTCCTTAAATGCAAATTCGACTGTGCAGATCTTCGCCCTAGCCAAGTACGTGCCCCGCGCTCACTTCTTCTTCTTCTCTCTCTCTCTCTCTCTCTCTCTCTCTCTCTCTCTCTCTCTCTCTCTCTCTCTCTCTCTCTCTCTCTCTCTCTCTCTC